ATTTATTTGGGACAATATGTTCCCTTGCTTTTTCATGTTGTTTGTGAGTCTACCCATCTTACAATATGGATATGAGTCAGTAGAGTTTCTATCCTATGGATTTATAGTGTCCCTGAAGGTTTCTAGTACCTCATGTTTAGGGGAAGAAAATAATGACAACAACAAATGCAAACAACATACAGTTTTAAACAAAATAGTTCCTACTATGATGTCTACAATGTTAATTATCACACTAAACAGAAATAATATGATCAGTTATTGCCTACAATAAAACCACCAAGTTTGCAGAAGGTTTATAATTTCAAATAGTGGACAGGGAGAGAACAGAAGTGATAAGGATGTGATGATTATGAGGAAAGAGTGGAGAAGAACTTAAAACACTATATCCATTAACTATGTATGATCTCATATCCGTCTTTTGGCAGTATTAAATTTATAAAATCTTATTCCTTTAATCAAACAAGTCTATTTACAGGTAGGATATCCTAAAACAATTTCTTACCCATGGGCCAAGTTGTATATACCAGGCTGTTTAATGAAGGCTTATTTTTATTAACCTCAGACCCAGAACAATTTTATGTTCATCAGTTGGGGTAGGTGTGTAAATAAAAAATATCACAATCAAACTATTGAATATCATGCAGCAGTTAAAAGAACAAAGCAGCTTTAAATATACTGACATGTCTAACTCACTGAAGCATATTTTTACATGAAAATATAAGTTTCAAAACAGAATACCAAATATGATCCTATTTTATATTTTAATAAGACATACACGCATATATAATGTATAAAAAGGATTCAACTCACCAAACTTATAAAACTGGGGACATAACTGTGATTTGGATGATGATAATGGAGTCAAAGCAATGCTAGTGTTTTTTCTTGGTTTGAATCTTAGAGTATAATACATTCTTCTTAGAAGATCCTAAAAATTCTACCAGAAGACTTCTAGCACTGATAAACAGATTAAGCAAAGTAGCAAGATACAAAATCATCATATAAAAATCAATATCTTTTCTATGCACCAATGATTAATCTATTGAAAAAGAAATCAGGAAAATAATTCCATTCATAATAGCCTCAAAAATACCTAGAAATAAATCTAACCAAAGAGGTGGAAGGCCACTAAAGTGAAAATTACAAAACACTGAAAAAAGAGATTGAAGAAGATACTAGGGGAAGGAAAGACCTTCTGTGTTCATGAATAGTCAGAATTAATATTGTTAAAATAGCTATATTACCAGAAGTGATGTACAGGATTCAATGTGATCCTCTTCAAAATACCAATGACAATCTTCACAGACTAGGAAAAAAAGCAGTCCTAAAATTCACATGGAAGAATAAAAAACTCAGAATAACCAAAGCAATTCTGAGCAAAATGGGCAGTGTCAAAGACATCACAATAGCCAATTTCAAATTGTACTACAGAGCTATAGTACTGGCACAAAATCAGACACATAGACCAATGGAATAGATAGAAGACACAGGCACAAATCCACACATATAAAATCATCTGATTTTTGACAAATGTATTAAAGCATACATTGGAGAAAAGACAGCCTTATTTAAACAAATGTTGTTGGGAAACTCGATATACATGTTTAGAAGAATGAAACCGAATCCTTCTTAGCTTGTACAAAAGTCAACTTTAAGCGGATCAAAAACCTAGGGATTAGACAAGAAATTTTACACATGTTAGAAGAAAACATAGGGGCAACACTCCAACTTATAGGTGTAGTCAATGAGCTCCTCAGTAGGACTCCTAAAGCTCAGGAAATAATACCAAGAATTAATAAATTGGATGTCATCAAATTTAAAAAACTTCTGCACAGCAAAGGAAACAAGATTGTGAAGAGAAAGTCTACAGAATGGGAGAAAATCTTTGCCAGCTACTCTTTTGACAGAGGATTAATATCCAGAATATACAAGAATTTAAAAAAAGTTAATATCAAAAAACCACACCCAAGTCAACAAATAGGCAAGTGAACTAAACAAACATTTCTCAAAGGAAACAGCACAAATGGCCCACAAATATATGAAAAAATGCCCAACATCTTTAGCAATCAGAAAACTGCAAATCAAAACTACACTGAGATTCCTTCTCACTCCAAATACAATGGCTATCATCAAGAATACAACTAACAATAATTGCTAGACAGGATGTATGTGATTTGGATGAGTATACTTATACATTGTTGGTGGGAGTGAAAATTAGTACAGCCGCTTTGGAAAGCAGTATGAAGATTCCTCAAAAGACTAGGAATGGAACCACTATTTGACCCAGATATTCCAGTCCTTGGTATTTATCCAAAACAACTAAAATCAGCATACTATGGTGAAACATGCATACCAATGTTTATAGCAGCATGATTCACAACAGACAAGTTATGGAACCAGCCTACTTGCCCATGAACAGATGAATGGAAAAGAAAATATAGTTTTACTCAGCCATAAAGAAGAATGAAATTATGTCATTTGCTGGCAAATTGTTGTAACTGGAGAATATCATGCTAATTGAAATAAGCCAGATTCAAGAAGTCAGGGGTCAAATGAATGGGGGGGAGGGAGAGGGAGAGGGAGAAGGGGAGGGGTGGGGGAAGGGTAAGGGGATATAACTAGAAGGTAATTAGAAGGGACATCAACAGAGTAGAGGAAGTAGGTTGAGAGGGGTAAGGAAGAGGGAGGGCATGGGCAAGTACTGGGGAATGAAATGTACCAAATTATGCTATGTGCATGTATGAATATACCACAGTGATATATAAAATTATAAAGAACTAGTTAAAATTATCATCATTATAGAAGGGAGATCAGTAGAACAGAGCAAGGGAATCAGGATGGGAGGGAAAGGGAAGGTACAGGGGAAGTATGTAATGTGTATGTACAAATATGACATAATGAATGCAACAGTTATGTATAATATAATGCAGCAGGAAAAAAGAAATGCTGGGTCCAAGAATTAGTAGGATATTTTGTTTATCATTTAATACATTGTGCCAAATTGCCCTATAAAATATTGAATTAGAACATCTGCATCTAACAGAGTGCATGAGTGAACATTTCTCCACAAACCAGTCAACAAAATTATTCAATTTCTAAGTTTTAACAAACTAATAGCTGAAACATAGTAAGACGTAGTTGTTTTGATTTGCATTTCTTTGGAGCTGAGTATCTTTTCAAATGCTTATCGGTCATTTGTTCTCTGTGAACAAATCTGTTCATATCTTTAGCACATTTTTCTATTGGGTTATCATTTTATTAATGATTTGTGAGAGTATTTTTTACCTTGTACTAGGTATTGAACCCAGGGGTGCTTAACCACTGAGCCGCATCCCTAGCCTTTTTTTTTTTTTTTTTTTTTTTAGTTTTTAGTCTCACTAAGGGCTTCCCTAAGTTTCTGAGGCTGACTTTGAACTTGCAATCCTTCTAACTCAGCCTTCTGAGCCCCTAGGATTACAGGTGTGAGCAACTGTGCTGGCTGGGAGTTTTTACATTAAAAATTAGCCCTTGACATCCAATGCTATGGTTTCTTTTTTTTTTTTTTTTAACACTACCAAGATTTTAGAATTTTATGCCATCATTTTATCAATTTAAGTTCTGAAAAGACATTTGTAAGGTCTTATAGCATCTTGGGCTCCCTGGCTCCCCTTCCAAAAGGGCCTCCTGCACAGCAGGCCCCCTCATAGGGAGGGCCTCTGGCTGGCTGGGGTGTCATATTTCAACATTCTAAGAAAAAGGCTGCCTGGAGGGTCTATATTTAGAGTATGATTCCCAGCAGGGACAGGTGGGTGTCTGCAGACTAACTTCTACATTCTTTGTCCCTGAGTTCTGGAATTATTCTGAGGGTCTTGGGCGGGTGGTACAGTGAGTGAAAATACTTCTTTCTCCTGGCCATTGTTCAGGATCCGAGGTGATTCACAGTCATCCACAGACCCTCACCACCATTATGAACACTGGTCAATGCTATGGTGATAGTATGTGGATGGCAGATTTCAGACATCTCATTAATGTCATGATGGAATGAAAATTCCACCTGTTGAGCCTCCTTTCCATCCATGTGTTAGCAGTTGGTCCTTTTATGGGTGTGGTGAGACTGATTTGATTACACACTTATGTAAAATCCAAACAAAGACCCTTTAACGGAAAGACAGTTAATCTGTGATGTCACTAGTTTGTAAGGCACTGGGTTCTTGAGGAATTGAGTCTTCATTAAATCATTTAGGAATCATCTCTGAAAAAGTTCTCAGACAGGAAACCATATATTCAGCCAGAACTTTAAAAAATTATAAATAATTTTTTTGTAAAACTGTCAAGATTAGAAATCAAATGTCTTTCCAAAGATTAATGTATAGATCATATTGAAAAATGTGCTGATTTAGGAATTTTTTATTTAAAATGTCAATAACACTAGTCTGTTTTGAAACCTGTGAAAGAGTTTATACCAAGTAGAAAACATTTTTAAGTGGCACAAAATAGTATAAACGAATGTCTCGTGTTATTTTTACAACCTGAATATTTTTTTTATGTCGAATGAAAATGACTTTACTGCATTTTCCCATTACAAAAAAAAAGTGATAGTAAAAGGAAAAAAAAGGAATATATAAAAGAAAGTTAAGGCTTTACTTTCACTCTGCTTTCCTTTCAGGCACCTCCTTCTCTAGGCAATTTGGTGCTGGCGCTGTAGGTACTAAGCGAGGGCAGGTTGTGTAGGAGGTGGGTGGGGAGCATTGATCTTTTAGCATACCAGGAAAAGAAAGGATTCCTCGAAGATGCAGAAAAGGCTACAACCAAGGCCTGGAATTGGGTGAGGGTGGGGGTGGGGGTAAAGACCCACCCTGGCAACAAGAGACCGGTAAACTCCAACCGCAAGGCGGTGATGCCACTTGTGGGCTCTCAGATTGGAGAGGACAGAGATGAGTGACAGGGTTGTGCGCACAGAGGCGCCGCGCAGAGACCGGAGGTGGGGGTTGTCTGTGCTTGAGGAAGGGGGTCTTGTTGACTGCCTGCCGGCGGGGGGGGGGTCTGTGGGGAGGAGAGCCAGCGATGACGCGCGGCCCTCACGTGACCCGGAGCTGCAGAGCGACGCAGCCCAGGGTGCAGTCGTCACTCGCGTCTGGCTACCAGCTCCCCGCTGCCCTGCGCATGGCGGGCTAGCATCAGGCCCGGGGAAAGCGGAGCAGGTAAGGGTTTTTGGGCCGCGCGCCGCCGCCAGGCCAGCAGCTGCTTGCCGAACCGTCTGCGGTGCAGGGACCGGCCAAAGAGGTGTCTGTGCTGGCTCAAGTTCAAGGAGCCTCTGCCTCTGATTTTCCCGAGTGTCCTTACCCCCATCTAAATCTGTTCAGGGGAACCATGAGCTTTGACAGGGTGGCTGGTGGGGAGAGTGTCTCAAGAGGGAAATACAGAACTAGATGTCCATCCTTTCTAATTCTAATCACTGACCGCACATGCCCGCAGGCTTCCTGATCATCTCAGAGGAAGGGACGCGCCACGGTGGCGTTTGTAAAGAAAATGGTGGGCCTTAGTGACTGGACGGCTGGGTTGGTAGGGGTGGTGTCTGAGCGAGGGGAGGGACGTTTGATAATCGTGTTCCAGAATCCGGAAAGGCGAGTACTGGGGTCTGTGGCCTGTGTGCTGTTCTAAGCACTCATTGCTTCTCTTTCTGACAATAGTTCGGTGTGGCACTGTTTGTGGTGAGGCGAGGGAAGGAGAGGAGAAAACTGCACAGGATCTATGGAGGTTAGTGTGAGCACGGGCACCGTCTGTGAAATTCTATATGAATTCCATGATAAGCATTTAGGCGCTGCTATCTGATTGGGATGTAGGCAACTTTCCCTAAATTGTGTTTCTTTACCAAGCTTGGGACTTTTAACTTATATTTTGTATTGAAGACCAATAAAGACAGCGAACTTTTCTACAGATGCTTTTATTTGTACTTCAGTTAATGTCAAAAAATATGGATTTTATCAAAGAACATTACTATTTTTTTGAGATAGTCTTTGGGGGAAAGGATAATGATTTTGCAGAAGCAAAAGCCCTCCCCCACACCTGTATCTTCTGCTAGAGACTCCTCAAAATGGGTTTTAGGGGAAGCAGAAGGCAGTAGGCTGTGGTTCTATAGTCATGGGGCCTGGGGCCCTGAATCTCTTCCACCATACTGCAGTTTTACAGATACCTCTGCCTTCCTGACTATCTTGGTGAAGGAAATGGAGGACTTTTGGGGGTGTCCCTAGAATGCTACAGGTGGTTTTAAAATAAGTTGCTTCTATCTTTCCCCTTTTTTCTTTACTTGTCTCCCTTTTATACTTTATGCATTACAGTGCTAGGAAAGCCCTAGGTTCTGCCTGCTAGGAAATGGCTGTCTCTCAGAAAGGCAGACACAACAACCCATATGTTAGATGTTAGGATGTCACAAATATTCAACATTCACCCTCCTTTTTTGTCTCTGTTCCTAGGTCTTCTCATAGGCTTACAGTAGGCCTATTTACCTCTAGAAACAAGAGAAAGAGACTGGCCCATAACCATGGAGGTTAGTGTGAATGTGGGAAGTGCATGGGGATGACAAGAAAGGATGGGCTAAGCAGGTTTTTGAGACTTGAGAGAGTCTCATTGGAGGGTCTTTCTGACTTTTCTACACTCTGCCTGCTTTCTACAGTGATAGCATATGCCCTATTGATTTTAGTGCAGGAAACAGTAAGAATATTGGGGCGAGGGTGGCTATGGTGTGACTAAGAAGACTTGAGTAGGGGAACACAAGATAAGACACCTTAGTAAACTAGACCTGGGCTCTTATAGGCAAGCATTGGGGTCAGGAATTAAAATGTCTGTCTTTTCTACCAAGCACTTAGTCTTCATTATCTCCTGTGTGTTCACTTATCTATAGATCTATCTGCACGTCTGCTACAGGGCTTGAGATAACTGGAAACAAAGAAACAAGAAGAAAATTGTCTCCAATCAGTATAGACTGGTAAGAAGGTGAGGATTGGCTGGGTCAACTTCTAGGATGGGTTAGTGGAGACCAGTGTGCATCCAATAAGGACCAGTGTCTGGTCTAGAGGATCCTTAATCCCTCCCTTTCTCAGTTATCTTTACCCACCTCTGCCATTAACCTTGAACCCTCACCTTAATTCGAAAAGAGTGTGACAACCCCTGGGGGGAGTGAAGTGATCTGAGGGAGTTGATATTCTTGTCCCATTAAGAACAAATTCTTGCCAGGCATGGTGGCACATGCCTGTAATCCCAGAAGCTCAGGAAGATTGCAAGTTCAAAGTCAGCCTCAGCAATTTAGCAAGACCCTGTATCAAAATTAAAAAAAAAGAAATCTATATAAAAAGGTCTAGGGATGTGGGTCAGTGGTTAAGTGCTCCTGGGTTCAATCCCTGGTAAGAAAACAAACAAATAAACCTCCCCCAAAAAACAAACTCTCTATTCCTGTATGTCACTCCCTGTGTCTCTCTGTTTGTCTTTAGGTCCAAAGATCTCATGAATTTATGTATCTACTTTAGGAGGGTGTATCACCAAGAAAGAAAAGGAAAGAGGAGGGGAATTCTTTGGATCAGTACAGGTTGGTATGGAAGTGGGGACCTGTGGGAACTGTGACCAGAGTAGGTCTAGTAAAAGTTAAAGTCTGGAGGCTTCTCAGTTTCTCCCATTCATCATCAACCTTCCCATCATCCTTCCTGGTATATGGAAGTACCTCAGGGGAAAATTGTTGGGCATTGTGGAAGGTGGGAAGAGGGTGAAATAAGGGATGGAAAGTTTGCTAATTATCCTCTTCTCCCACCAAACACATAATTTCTACCTTTTCCTGTTCCTCTGTATATCCAGCTGTATGATACAATAGAATTGGAAGAGAAATTTTAGTTTATTTCCTTCCTTCACTTCTAGGTCTACCACCAGTGGCAACTGTAGTGGCTGAAGACCAGCACCATCACAGGCCTACATCCAGACCTATCACGTTCTTTCCTCAGCCCGAGTGAGCCCCCCTGTACCTTGTTCGTGCCTTCAGCAGGGGTTATTACATGGGCCGCATTCAGGAAGTGGGCTGGGCAACTGCAGGACTGGTGATCTGGGCTGGCACCTGCTACTACATTTACAGATTAACCAAGGGAAGAGCTCAGAATGAGAGGAGACTTGCCAGAAATGGGTCCAAAGTCAAGATGGAGACTGTGGTTGGGGTACAGAACCAGACCTTGGCCACGAGTGAAGCCTTGGCTGGGGCAGAGACTGAGACTAGACCCAAGGCCATGACTGGAGCAGAAACTGGAGCAGGAGGTGGGCTTGGGGCTGAAGCAGAGGCCCAGGTCACTGCTATATCCAGACCCAAAGCCAACTCTCAGTCCAAGGCAATGGCTGAGGCAGAGACAGAGACTGAATTTGAGGCCAAATCAGTGGTTGGAACACTGATCATGACAGAGGTAGTGACTCTGACTGAGGCCAATGCCAAAGCTAGGGAAGTGGCCATGAAAGAGGCAGTGACCCAAACTGATGCTGAGGCTGGGGGACTAGTGAAGAAAGAGGCAGTGACCCAGACCAAGGCTAAAGCTTGGGCAGCGGTTGCCAGGTCAGAGGCCAAGAAAGAAACAATGACCCAGACCAAAGCTGAAGCTCGTACATTGGCTGAAAAAGAGACAGAGATTAACAAAGTAATGGTGACACAGAGTGAGGTCTTGGCAGTGACCAAGGAAATGGTCAAGATTGGGACCATGAACAAGGCTGGAATTGTGGCTGAAACCAAGACAAGAACCCTGGAAGAGACTGTGAGTGTGGTTAAAACTCATTCTGAGGCTAGGCCTGATCCCACAGTTGATGCTAAGGAAAATCTCAATGGCACATCCAGGGCAGAGGCTGAAGTGGACATGAAGTTCTGTGCACAGTCTCAGGCTGTGGCCAAGGTCCAAGATGATGACATGCCTGGTGCTGGGGATAAGGACAAGGGTAATCTTAAAATCCTGTGTAAGGCAGGCTCTGGGGTAGACACAAAGGCTTCTTTCCAGCCCCAAATTGCTCCCCAGACACAGGCTGAAGCCATGCCTGGGGCAAAGGTTATTGACAGGGGTGATGACAATGCCATGTGTAAAACAGAGATAGAGGCAGATATGAAAGCTTGTATAATACAGTCTCAGACTATGGCCAAAAAACAGGCTGAAGCAACATCTGGTGCCAGGGTTGATGGCAGGGTAAATTCCAATGTCATATCTAAGGCAATGACTGGAGCTGACATGAGGGCTACTGCTCAGGTACAAGCTGTATCCACTGCTCAGGTTGAGGCCATACCTGATGCCAAGGTTAAGGGTAGAGCCAATCCCAATGCCATGGCTAAAGCAGTGGCCAGAACAAACACGAGGACCAATTCACAGGTTGAAGCCTTGACTGATACCAGGGATAAGACCAGAAGTGATCCCAATGTCATGGCTAAGGCGGGGGCTGGGATGGATATGTTGTCTTGTACCCAGATTCAGCCTGTGGCCAATGTCCAGGGTGATGTCTTGCCTGATGGAAGAATCAAGGCTAAGGGCAATGCCAATACCATGTCTAAGGAAGGAGCTGAGGCTACTGCCCAGAGCCAGGGTGAAACCTTACCTATTACTAGAGGTAAGACAAGGGGCAAAGCCAAAGCCAAATGTAAAGCAGGGGTTGGGACAGACATGAAAACCTGTGTACAGCCTCAGGCTGGGATCAAGACCCAAGCTGAGGCCTTGCATGATTCCAGGGTTGATGGTAGTAGTGATTCTAATGCCATTTCCAGAGCAGGGTCTAAGACAGACCAGAGGACCTGTGGTCAGCCCCAAACTGTGGCAAATTTGCAAGGTGAGACCCTACCTGGTGCCAAGAATAGGGTCAAAGGCAACTCCAACACTGTGCCTAAGGCAGGAACTGTGGAAGGTACAATGGGCTCTTCCCAGTCCCAGGCTGTGACCACTTCCCAGAATGAGGCCTTGCCTGGTATCAGGAATAAGGTAAAGGGCAATACCAATGCTGTGCCTAAGGTAGAGGCTGGGGCAGATGCAACAGGGTCTGCTCAGCCCCAGGTTGTGGCCAATTCCCAGGGTGAGACCTTGCCTAGTACCAGGAATAAGGTCAGGGGCAATCGCAATGCTGTGCCTAAGGTAGGGGTCAGGCAAGATACAGTGTGCTCTGCCCAGCCCCCAAATGTAGCCAATTCCCAGAATGAGGCCTTGCCTGGTGCCAAGAATAAGGTTAAGGGTAATTCCAATGCTGTGCCTAAGGCAGAGGCTGGGGTGAGTTCTGCCTATCCCCAGGCTGTGGCCAATTCACAGGGTGAATGCTTGACTGGTACCAGGACTAAGGTCAAGGGCAATCCCACTGCTATGTCTAAGCCAGAGGCTGGGGCAGGTACAATGGGCTCTGCCCATCCCAAGGCTGTGGCCAGTTCCCAGGGTGAGGCCTTATCTGGTGCCAAGAATAAGATCAGGGGCAATTCCAATATTGTGCCTAAGACAGAGGCTGGGGCAAATTCAAGAGACTCTGCCCAGTCCCAGGCTGTGGCCAGTTCCCAGAGTGAAAACCTGCTTGGTGCCAGGAATAAGGTCAGGGGCAATCCCAATGCTATTCCTAAGGCAGAGACTGGGGCAGATACAACAGGCTCTGCCCAGCCCCAGGCTGTGTCTAATTCCCAGGGTGAGAATTTGCTTGGTGCCAGGAATAAGGTCAGGGGCCATTCTAGTGCTGTGCCTAAGACAGCGACTGGGGCAGGTACAACGGGGTCTTCCCAGCCCCAGGCTATGGCCAGCTCCCAAAACGAGGCCTTGCTTGGTGCCAGGAATAAGGTCAGGGGCAATTCCAATACTGTGACTAAAGCAGGGGCCAAGACAAGTATAAAGAGCTCTGCTCAGCCCCAAACTGTGGCCAGTTCCCAAGATGAGGCCTTGCTTGGTGCAAGGGAAAAAGCTGTGTCCAATTCTGAAGCAGAAACCATAGCAAAAGATGAAGTCTATGCAAAGCCTGAGTCTGAGGCTGTGCCCACATCTGAGAGTGAAGGTGGGATAGACTCTCAGGCTTGCAGAAGGACTCAGCCTAATATTCATGACTACTACTGGAATGGAATTGGTGTAGAGGATTGGATTGCTGCTGAGCGATGGATCAAATTTAGGTTTCAGGCCATGGATGGAGACTGGGAAAATAGTGTGTCCTGGGCTGATGATGAGAATGAAGCCAGTATTGGGTCCTGGAGTGGGGCTAGTGATAAGGCTGGTGTTGTCAGTTCCTGGGCTGTGGCCTGTGATGAGACCAGCATTAAGTCCTGGGCTGGGGCTGGAGCTAGGGCTGAGAATGAGGTTGCTGTTGCATCTTGGGTAGGAGCTGGGGATCAGGCCAGTGGAGGAGTCTGGGCTGGGGGTCAGGCTAGTGAGGGGTCCTGGGCTGTGGACAAAGCCAGTGGTGGTTCCTGGGTAGAGGCTCAGAACAAGGCCTTTGGAGGGTCTTGGACTGGGGCTGAGAACCAGACCAGTGGGGGGTCTTGGGTTGTCTCTGGGAATCAGGCCATTGGAGGGCCCTGGGTTGTTGGTCAGGTCAGTGAGGGGTCTTGGCCTGCAGGCCAGGCCACTGGTGTTTCCTGGGTTGTGGACCAGGCTACTGGAGGGTCCTGGACTGTGGCTGATAATCAGGCTAGTGCGGTGTCTTGGGCTGGAGCTGGAAACATAGTTAGTATTGGTTACTGGACTGGGGCCATGGACCAGGCCACTGGAGGGTCCTGGGCTGGGACTGGTGATCAGTCCAGTGGTGAGACCAAGCCTAGATTTGAAGATCAGGCCAGTGAAAAAGGGTCCTGGACTGGGGCTGTTGTCCAGGCTAGTGGAGAGTCCAGGTTGGGACCTGAGGACCAGTCCAGTGGAAGGTCTTGGGCTGATACTGCAGATCAAGCCAGTGGAGGGCCCAGGCTTGGGCCTGTAGACCCAAGTGGTGCATCCTGGGTTGGCACTGGGGACCAGGCTGGTGGAGGATCTACACCAGGGCCCGCAGATCAGTCCAGTGGTGGGTCTTGGGCTGGCACTAGGAACCTGGCCATTGGAGGGTCCTGGACTGGAAGTAGTGATCAATCTGGTGGTGGATCTAAGCCTAGTTTTGAGAATCAGGCCAGTGATGAAGGTTCTTGGGCTGGGGCTATTGCCCAGGCTGGTGGAGGGTCCAAGTCAGGGCCTGAGGATCAGTCCAGTGGAAGATCCTGGGCAGATTCAGGGAATCAAATCAGTGGAGGGTTCTTGGTTGGGGCTGTGGACCAGACCAGTGGAGAGTCCCAGGTTGGGGTTAGGGACCTGGCTGCTGGTGGGGCAAATCCTATATTTGAGGACCAGACCAATGCAGCAGGATGCTGGGCTAATTCTGGGGACCAGCCTGGTGGAGGATCTAGCCTGGGGTCTGGAGGTCAGTCCAGTGGAAATTCCTGGGTTGGTACTGGGGACCAGACCAGTGGATGGTACTGTGCTTACACTGGGAGTCAGACCAATGTAACAGGGTCTTGGGTTGTGGCTGGTAGTCAAGATGTCGGAGTGTCCAGACCAGGGCCCATGAACCAGTCTAGTGTTGTGTCCTGGGCTGGCACTGGGAGTCAGGTCAGTGGAATGTCCTGGGCTATGGCTGGGGATCAGTCTGGTAGTTGTTCCAAACCTGGATTTGAGAATCAGGCCATTGGAGGAGGATTCTGGGCTGGTGCTGGAGATCAGACTAGTGGAGGATCCAGACCAGGGTCTCAGGATCAGTCTAATGGAGGAGGTTCCTGGGTTGGAGCTGGTGGCCATGTAATTGGAGGGTCTATATCAGGTCCCACAGACCAGTCCAGTGGTGGATCCTGGGCTGCCACCGTGAGTCAGGTCAGTGGAGGATCATGGATTGGGCCTGGGGATCAGACTGTTGTCTGCTCTAAATCTGGATTTGAGGATCAGGCTAGTGGAGGAGCTTCTTGGGCTGGTGCTGGGGATCAGACCAGTGGAGAATCCTGGGCTGTGTCTAAGCCTGGGAATGAGGCTAGTGGAGGCTCTAGGCTGGGCTCTGAGGACCAAGCCAGTGGAGGGTCTTGGGCTAAGTCTGAGGACCAGGCCAGTGGAAGATTCTTGGTTAGTGCTGAGGTAGAGGCCAATGAAGGATTCTGGTTTGGGCCTGGGAGTGAGGCCTTTATAGGTTCTTGGTGTTGGACAGGGGAAGAGGCTGTTATTGTGGCCAGGTCTGATTGTAAGCATCAGTCAAGTATTGAATCCACATCAAGAACTGGGGAAGAGATTATCAATAATTCTGAGTTGGTGGATGAGAACAAGGCCAGTATTGGGTCCTGGATCAGATCTGAGGAGGCAGCTTATGTAGGTTCCTCTGTAGGGGCTGAGGCTGGTGCTGAGGCCAGAACTGAGGCTGGAGCTGAGGCCAGATCAGAGGCTGGGGCTGAAACCAGGGCTGAAGCTGGAGCTGAGGCTGGGACTGAGGCCAGGACTGAGGCCACAGCTGAGGCTAGGGCTGAGGCTGGGGCTGAGGCCAGGACTGAGGCCACAGCTGAGGCTGGGGCTGAGGCCAGGGCTGATGCCGGGACTGAGGCTGGGGCTCAGACTGGAACTGAGGCTGGAGCTGAAGCCAGAACTGAGGCTGTGGTTGAAACCTGGGCTGAGACCAGGACTAAGGCTGAGGCTGAGACCAGGGCTGAGGCCTGGGCTGAGGCCAGGGCTGAGGCTGGGGCTGAGGCCAGTGCTGAGGTCAGAACTGAGACTGGGGCTGAGGCCAGAACTGAGACCGGAGCTGAGACCTGGGCTGTGGCTGGAACTGAGACTGGAGCTGAGGCTTGGGCTGTGGCTGGATCTGAGACCAGAGCTGAGGCTGGAACTGAGGCTGGATCTGAGACCCGGGCTGAGACCTGGGCAGAGGCTGGATTTGAGATGGGAGCTGAGACTCGGACTGAGGCTGGGGCTGAGATTGACGCTGAGACTGGGGCTGAGGCTGGGGTTGAGGCCAGGGCTGAGACTGGAGCTGAGACTGGGGCTGAGGCCTGGACTGAGGCCGGGGTTGGAGCTGAGGCTGGAGCTGAGGCCTGGGCTGAGGCCAGGGTTGGGCCTGAGGCTGGGGCTGAGGCCTGGGCTGAGACCAGGGTTGGGGCTTGGGCTGAGGTTGGGGCTGGGGTTGAGGTTGGGGCTGGGGTTGATGTTGGGGCTGAGGCCTGGGCTGAGCCTGGAGCTGAGGTTGGAGCTGAGGCCTGGGCTGAGTCTGGAGCTGAGGTTGGAGCTGAGGCCGGGGCAGTGGCTGGGGCTGAGGGTGGGGCAGTGGCTGGAGCTGAGGCTGGGGCTGAAGCCAGATTGGGGTCTTGGCCCTGGGATGAAGATGTAACAATTAAAGGGTCTAGGTTTGGGGCTGAAGAAGAAGCTGGCATACCATCTTGGACTTGGTCTAGGGATGTAGATGAAGATGAGCTAAGTAGATCATCCAGCCCTGATATTGAGGAGATCAGTTTAAGGTCCCTGTTTTGGGCTGAGAGTGAGAACAGTAGTGAGTTCACATCCAAGAGTGGAAAAGATGTTAATTTTGAGTCTGGAGCTGGGGATAAGGCCAGCATTGACAATAAATTTGAGGCTGCTGATGGATTTGATCTAAGGACTTGGTTCTGTACTGGTAATGAAAACAGAAATGAAGACAAATCTGCACCTAATGCTAAAGGCAAAAAGTCCGCTGAGTCAAGAGGTATATATCCATCCATGGTCCCTGGGGCGGGAATGGGGCCTTGGGATGGAGCCATGATCTGGTCGCAAACTAAGTTTACTCAACAAAATGAGGGCTTTCTAGGTGAAGATGAGTATAGAAAGAATGGCAAGTCTGGGGAAAAAATGCAGCCCTGGTCCTGCCGCTGTAAACGTGAAGCTAATATGGATCCACGAGATCTTGAAAAACTCATTTGCATGATTGAGATGACTGAAGATCCTTCTGTTCATGAAATAGCCACTAATGCCCTATATAACAGTGCTGATTATCCTTATTCCCATGAAATTGTTCGTAATGTTGGGGGAATCTCAGTTATTGAAGGCTTGCTGAGTAATCCCTACCCTAGTGTTAGGCAGAAAGCTTTAAATGCACTGAATAACATCTCAGTGGCTGCCGAAAACCACAGAAAGGTTAAAACATACTTAAACCAAGTTTGTGAAGATACTGTCACCTATCCCTTGAACTCAAATGTGCAGCTGGCTGGACTAAGATTGATAAGGCACCTGACTATTACTAGTGAATATCAGCATATGGTTACAAATTATATTTCAGAATTTCTTCGTTTGTTAACTGTGGGAAGTGGAGAAACTAAAGATCATGTTTTGGGAATGCTTGTGAATTTCTCTAAAAATCCATCTATGACAAAAGACTTGCTCATTGCCAATGCACCAACAACACTGATTAATATTTTTAGCAAGAAAGAGACAAAAGAGAATATTCTTAATGCTCTTTCACTATTTGAGAATATAAATTACCATTTTAAAAGAAGATCAAAAACATTTACCCAGGACAAATTCAGTAAAAATTCTCTTTATTTCCTATTCCAACGACCTAAAGCCTGTGCCAAAAAACTTCGAGCCTTAGCAGCAGAATGCAGTGACCCAGAGGTGAAGGAAAAAGTTGAGCTATTAATAAACAAACTCTAATTGGATATATGTTCCTACACACATTCGAGTAATATTTTGGTTTTGTAGCCTGGAAATGATGCACATTGTAAGTTGTGTTATAACTTCAAAACTGATGTTATCTATGATGGTCTATAGATGGGCCATTTTATGAGCACCAAATGAATCCAAACTTGTACTGAAAATACATGTGTTGATTTTTATCTTGTCTGGATTGAGATATTTTTAGTATGCTTCATGAGCAGAAACTGAGCTGATTCTTCATAAGTAAGGTAATCTTTGGTCCTTTGTGTGGACTTATGTTTATACATTTGAGACTTTATTTTTATGTCATCAATAAAGTTGTGTGTTTTAAGCAGCAGAAAAAAAGACATTGTCATTTTCCTTGAGTTTATGATCCGTTTGAAGAGACAAGGTATATGGAAACAAAAATATATTAACAAAACTAGGCCACCCAGTCACAGCCAGATGCATCCCCATCAATGCTTAGAGGCAGCAGAAACTGCTGAATCCACCAGTGCTCAGAGAAGGTTTTACAGAGGAGAGGGACACTAGGACACTCAAAGTAAGCTGGGCTTGAAGGATAAGATAGAAAAGCCAGAAGGGCATTCAAGGAGGGAAGAGGGTGGAAGAAAGGCAAGGAGCAGGCTGACCTGCCTGGAGTGCAATATGTGGGGAGGCAAGTGAGGGGAGGGTCTGAGAGTTGGGGTGAGTCCTGTCCACGGAACACCCCTGATTGCTACACTGGGGTGTCCAAAAAGTAGCCCATTTGACCTCCAAATACTAGCCTATCTAACCCTGGGAGACAACAAAGCCTTTCATGTCCAGAGGAATGACAGGATGCCAGGAAAACCACATGGTGATTTGTGTGCAGGTTGGGTGCCAATTGGGGTGGGGCCAGAATGGTGATGGAGATTGGAAAACCAGTTAGGAAGTTACCACCATAGTCCAAGCATGAGAGGGTAAAGGCAAGACATTTCAAGTGGTGTCTCTGGGGATGGTAAGGACAGGATGGAAGCAAGAGACCCTTTGAGCCACTAGGTGCTGGGTAACAGAGAGATTTCTGAGGCCTGTTTTCTTTTATGGTTCTATGGGCATTTGTTGGGAACATGTTCTTTTTCTTGGCCAACTCTAGTGTGTATGTAAGTGGATAAAAGAGTTGCTGCCTTGAAATAATAATAAAATGCAGTCAAAGAAATAATGCAAAATTTTTAGTGCTTGCATAAGATTTCTTTTATTAGTTGGTTGGGGTGGGGACTTTAAGGAACTATAGAGAGTGTTATTGGGATCCACAGAGCAAAAGACCCACTTCTCTCCCACCCCATGGTGTTGGTTGAGGAGAACTCTCAAACTATGCTGCTGGGAGCACACAAGGTGCTAGGTCCATAGAGATATGTGTTCAAGATGTGCCTGCCCTTCAACTGAATAATTCTGCTTGTGAAATGTTATCCTTAGGATCCCATCCATCTATTGGCTTGGAAGAAGCTGTGCATTGTTGAAAACTGTTTTGAAGGGTGAAAAAGTGAATTGACCCAAGTGTCTCAACATAGACATTTGGCTAAACAAACTAAGGTGTACCTACACACTGAAATATTCTGTAGCTGTTGAAAATGTTAATAGGCATCTGCATTTAATTACATAAAAATTCAGCATATAATTTTAAGTGCAAAAAGCTATCTGTAAAGGCACATAAGATACCTTTTATGAAAAAAGTCATGTATTTAAGTGATTTATATGTATTTACCAGTGTATATTCTGAGAATGTTAATAGTTCTCTATGAGTGTTAAAATAATGGGTGATTCTATGTTTGTTTTTTTGTCTTAGTATTATAGATTTTATGATAACTACATAATAAATGGGAATTTCTTTAATGATTTATCTGAAAGGAAAAAGATAGATTTGGGATACAGAAGTCTATCAATAATATTTGAGACGCCTAGAGCAAAAGTATGAGTGGAGGGTTGCATATTTATGTCTAAATATTTGAACGATATACCTTAACATTTTGAATAATATTTTAAATAAAGTTCTAAATATGTAAATATTTTAAACTATTTTAAGTATCAAGCTATTCTCAATCCTAGCATTTGATGGCTACCAACTTTCTATTGAAAAGAAATAACATATTGTAGTGGATTCTGCCATCTGCTTCCCTGATCCTCCTTCAGAAAGAAAGAACTCATTATTTCAGTTGCCTAGAGTGCTGCTGGTAGACAGCCCTCAGCTGCCAGACCTCTTCAGGAATTGCTTCAGCTGAAGAGAACCACCCCCCACCCCACCCCCAAGGTCACACTCGCTGCCTGGCTTCCTGTGGGTACTTCCTTTCCTGTGACTGAGGGTCATAACCTTCTTCTCTCAAATTGGAACAGCTTAACTTCTCCTGCTTCCTTCTTTTCCCTTCCACAGGTATTGGTCCCAAGAATATTCCCTAATAAAAATGCTTCATGCTGAACTCTGTCTCTGAGTCTGCTGCCCAGGAAGCCAACCTGAAAGAGTTGGTCAAGAAGTTGTTCAAGAAAGCAAACACTGTGATGCGATTTTAAAAATGGATTGCCTGCTGGTCAGCTGGCAATGAGGATATCAACAATGGTGGTAGGTGGAGTAGATAGGCCCCAGAAAAGAAGTAGAAGAAGAAATTGTTAGAACCTTCCCACATAGGATACTGGGATGGCATACTGGTGGGACGGAATACATTATCTGGTGCCAGGTATCAGACCTTTGAGAAATATGAGGGGAAATACTAAATATAAGGAAGGCGAGAAAATTGGATGGTTATTGCTAAACTTTATTGACCCCCTTAAAAAAATGAAAATGTCAATAAAATTAATCAATAATTAAAAGTTACATTTGAAAGCCAGAGGGTTTCATGCATAGCATATAAAGACGCTTTCATCTTTTCCAGGTAGATGTAGAGAAATCTGAGGACCAAGCATAAGACTTATTGAAAGCAAGCTTAAAAGAAAGTTAAAATTCCAACCAAGCAAAACTTCTACACTAAGATCAGGGCCCTGATTAGGAAGGAATGGGATCTTAACACATGGGATGGGGACCTCCTCATTGGTGTTCCCCAGAATCTTATATCCCCAGATTCTTCTAAACCCCTTGGGTATTAAGAAGTGTTCCATACTTCCCTATTGAGGGCTACCACTCTATCTCGTTTGAGGATTCAGAATTCTTTCCCCTGTAAGATAACATGGAATTCCCTTGGAATCTGCCCCCATCTGCCATTGCAGCACTGGAACTATAACTTAGTGGCAAGCCACAGCATAACCTACATGCAGATATACTGGATGTAAAAAGGAAGAAAAAGGACTATACCAACAAGAAGCTTCAGGACCTAACCTAGCCAGCAAGTATTATCAAGTGTTGAGGGAGAAAGCATGAGACTGAATTTTGAGGAGCTTGATAAGTGGGACTGGAATGTATAATTGAATATAGGAGAACAAATCAATTTGAGAGTGCTTTCCTAGGATATGAGATTTAACATCCTGGCTAAGACCCCAGGAGATGATTTGAACTCACTACTAGGATAGCTCTTCAAAGTATGGAAAAACAATAGCTTACTTTAAGTAAGTTATAAATGACTATAGCAGATGATAAAGAATTAAAAACTCATAGAAGTGAGAATGATAGAATACATATATTATGTAAGGCTAAAAAATTCGTCCAGAGGTCTATATTCTGCAGGAGAACCAATAGAACACACTGTTTACCAAACTATAAGGAGTGTATAAGTGAGAAAGGCACCACCACCTCTAAGAATTTCAGTGGTAATACTTCCTCTGCAGGTCGGCTCCCAGAGTAGAAAATATGTCTTGGAAAAAAAGGATTAATCACAGAAATGGTGATGACTCTGAAACAATAGAGACCAGATGGCTGCACTTAACTATCAGAAGTCAGGTGGATGCAAATACTATGTACTACAGGGTCAGTGTGGTAGCTTGGGAGGTCTAAACTGCAGAGAACTACAGAGATGATTAGTACGACATAGTGCTGAAGGTGGATAAATGGTTAAGAGGTGGTTAATAGGTCATGGACAGTCATTTTAACATGGTGCCTTTGTGAAATTAGTTACCAATTCACAATCTGTACAATAAATTAATTAAAGGTGGTTGGAAGTCTGAGAGAAGTTACTTTGAAAACAAGTCAAAATCCCTTGGCTAGCTTATGATCCTAAGTCAATTTTTGACCTACAACACCGTGAAGGAGAGGCTGGGTGCCCAGGAAGAATGACCTTACTATAATATCATGCATAGTAATGATTCCTCCATCCTTCCATTGACTCAGGAAACTGTGCCAAGGAAAAGGAGTACCCAAACATTTTGAGGGCCAACAGTTGTTCTGAGTTAAATTGATACCCAGAGACCTAAAATGCCATCATAGCCTCAAGGCTCGGATAGGGCATATGAGAGCCAGGTAGTTAATGGGATACTGGCCTAGGTCTGGTTCACAGTGGATCTGTTGGGTCCACAGACTTATCCCATGGCTATTTTCTTGATTACTGAATGTATAATTAGAATAGACATAGTTGGTACTTGGTATAAGCCCCATTATAGTTTCTTGGTCTACGGAATCAGAGCTATTTGTAGATGAGAAAGCCAAGTGAATGCTTCTGAAACTGCACTTCCCTGTCCTGGCCAAATTAGTAAATGAAAATATATAGCGTTCCGAGGAGGGAGGATGGCGGAAATTAGTGCCACTTTTAAAAACATAGAGAATGTAGAGGTGTAGTTTCAGTTATATTTTCATTTAATTCATCAGTTTGGTCCTTGAAAAATATGAACAGAGCCTGGTGGGTGAGAGAGACTATTTCAAACTCAAATAGTAAGACAATTGCAATGGTCATGCTGGATATAGGATATTAACATAGTCTTAGGTGCCTAGTATTCAACTATTGCTGTGAAAAATGTTTATTTTCCTCTCTTTATAAGAATAGAATATCTGAAAAAAATCTCAGATTCCCATAGACAATATTATGCATTTACAGTTTTTCTCCAAGGCTCTACTAATTGTCATATCTCTGTCATAATATAGTCTGAAGAGATCTGGATGACCTAAATAAACTTCAGAAGGGCTATCACTTTGGATGCTTTGGTAAGACACACACACCACAAAGGGTGAGAGATAAACCTTACAGAGATCCAGGGGCTGGTCGCATAAAGGGTAATTTTAGGGGTTTACTGTCCTGGGGAATGCTGGGAGATCCTCTCCAAAGGAAAGGACAAGTTAGGGCATTTTTAAAAATCTTCTTCATAAAGAAGGAAGATCAATACCTGGTAGGCCTCTTTAGGTGCTGGAAGCACACATTCCCCTCCTGGAATTGCTATTTCAGCCCATTTACTGGGTGACACAAAAATTGC